TAACGCCTTCAAAATGAGAACGTCAGGAAATTATGTACTTGTATCAGTGAATGCTCAAAAAATGTTGGAACTCTTTCTTTAATTTACCTCCAGCGTATGCAGCACACTTAGATGAGAATCGTCAGTGGCAGCAGAATTTTCCTTGAAAGTAGTTTAGGTTTAGAGAAATATACAACTTATTCAATGCCAATCTGTTTGACAAGATAGGTGACCTGTTTATTCAATATTATTTTAGATCAAAAGCTGGTGATACTAGAAAGTATGACAGTTTTATTGTGATTCATAAACTTGACTCTGAATGCTGTACCAAGAGTTACAAAATTATTTAGATAAAGAAAGCATTGTTAGGATAAGGTATAGAAGGATCTTATACTCATTTAAATTTAAAAATTCTGATATAGTTATACCTTATGAAGGGAAATAATTTTGGCCACCCTTTGAAAGTTGTAATTAGGCTTGACATTTAGTTTCAGAACTATGGACACCACAAAATTAATTATCTTTAAAAATTATTATGCAACTGTTCACAAATAATAGTATGACTAACACCCTTTAATAAGGTGTTAACCCACCTTTGTACCTAAGCTTGCTTTAGCATAACCTTTCACCTAATTTAGCATGTACATCTGTTACCTGTTAAGTCTGGATTTATAAAGAAGCATGTGCATAATTATCTTAAAACGTACAACTAAAAGATTGTATTTTATTTCCATTTAAAAAAATCTTTTTGCTTAGGAAGTAATTAATTGCATAACTTTTGAGATGAAGTGCCACATAAAAAAAATACAGAAGTGAAGGCCATTTTTTTGCCTTCAACATCAATTTGTTGAGTATCTATCTACTCAATTTATGGCCTTATATTGATTGTTATCTGTTCATAGATATACAATATAACCCCTGCCTCCAAGAATTCACAGCTGATGGAAAATGAATAAATTAACAGTCAGTGACAGCAGGGGTTGGCAAACTTTTTCTGTAAAGGGCCAGATAGTAAATATTTTAGGCTTTGTGGGCCATATGGTTTCTGTTGCAGTTACTCAACTCTGCTGTCATAGCATGAAAGCAACCACAGACAGTCCATGAACAAATGAGCATGGCTGTGTTCCAGTGCAAATTTTATTTACAGAGCTAGGCATGAGCCTTTGTCCTGCAGTTTGCTGCTGTCTGAATTATGGTATAGTCATATAAAATCTATGGTAGACACGTACTACTATGCTGTGTGTACATGACTAGAGGAGGACACAGAAAATCTCAAGGAGGAAGGGACTTATGAGCTGAGTCTTGAAAGGCAAGGTGTTATCCAGGAGAAGCAGCATGGAAGGCCCATGGATTCATTAACTCCTGCAGAGTCTAAGCAAAGGCAGAGACAGGAGCCCATTTTGTTAAATATTTAGTGGGTACCTTATGAAAAGATAATCATTCAAATCCTTTCCCATAGCATCTTTCTAAATAGTGTTGAAAATTGTAGTTACCAAAATTCTATGACTGACTTCACATGTGTAGTTTCTTTACATCTATAAATATGAAGAATTGGTTTTGTATGTTAAAACAGAAGCATATCAAAAATTGCCTTGTCTTTAGAGAAAGTCAATTGTTTTACTTCGTTTACTTATTTTACATTCTTGAGGGCACGCTGAGCTATTCTCCCAGCACACAAAGACCTACTTGAAAAGTAATGAGTTCTGCCATCTCAGTATTGGTCATCAGGGTACTGCATTTTGAGTTTATTAACTTTTCATTGAAATTGCATACAAAAAAGTATACGTCATACACACAAGAAAGTACACATATTGGCAGTATATAGCTCAATGATTTTTCACAAACTGAACACCCTCCTTTTACCATGAGGCTACATTTTAATTGTCCAACACTACTGATCAAAATTCTTAGACTGCTTCTCTCATAAACTTAATTATTTTTCATCTCTGAGCTTTCAGTAAGTTCTCTGGCTTAAAATCCTTACTGCTAACAATAATTTTGCTTGCATGAAGGGCAGGGTGGGCTCATTCTGTCTGCCCGCCTTTTCCTCCTAGGCCTGTCTAGCATTCCGTTCTCTTTAATGGATCACTGCAGCGTAGGCTTCTGATTTCCAGGAAATACCTTTTATTCCAAAATCATCCATTTCTTCCCCGGAAAGTCTCTCTTTACCTCCAGCAGTGCTTCCAAACTGAAGGTAGCAACTCTGGATCTTGAAATAAATTTAGTAAGTTGGACTTGTGACTGGCATTTAAGAAGAGCACAAAGGAGGGACAAGACAGATGAAGAAATAGAATAGTGCATTGTAACCATTGTAAGGATAAGTATTATTTTTTGCAAATTTTTATTTAGTTTTTCATCTATGTGTATGTTTACTAGATCATGATGTAAAATTTATTTTTTACTAGGGATCATGTCCTTAAAAGTTTAAAAAACATTGTCGTAAGTCTCACGTCAGCAATTTCAAAAACTGCTTAACATTAGCACCATTAACATTAACTGCTGATACTCGTAGAACTTGTTTAAATTAATAAAATGGAAACTGGGGGGCTGGAGGAAGTTTTTTTCTGCCTGTCTCTTGGAGGAGCACTCTGTCTCATTTTAAGATGCCAATGTAACTCAAACAGAGATGTTACAAGAAAAAACATTGCAGACAGATATCCCTCATGAATGTAGATGGCACAGTGCTTTACCAAATATTAGCAAATTGAATACAGCAATATATAGACAGGATAATACATTTTGACCAATTGGAGTCTATCCTAGGAATGCAAATCAGGGGTTGGATTAATATCCAAAAACCATTTTAATTTATTATCTTAATCGAATAAAGTAGAAAAACCATTTGATCATCCTTAACAGGTACAGAAAAGCATAAACATTTGACAGAGTTAAACTCCTAATTCTCAGCAAACTAGGAAAGAACTTCCTTGCTGAGAAAGGGTATATTTGAAAAACCTACAGGTAAGATGCCTAACACTGGGAACAAAACATGGCTGTCTCCTCTCAACCACTTGTACTTAACATTGTACTTGGGGTCTTGGCCAGACGCTAGTCTGAAGTAAGGCCAGAAAAAGAAAGAGGAGGCGTAAAGATTGGCAAGAAGTAAAACTATCTGTTTGCAGATGACACGATCACCTATGTAAAAATGGTTAAAAACTTAAAGCCTCACAATATCAAATGTTGACAATGGAATGGAGCAACTAGTACTCTCAGACATTGCTGTTGGGTCTGTAAAATGGTACAGCCACTTCGGAAAACAGTTTGACAGGTTTTTTTTATAACGTTAAACATACATACACCTGTCAGTTCTGATCCTAGGTATTTACCCAAGGGAAAAGAAAATGTGTATCCACAGAAAGACTTGTACCTGAATGCTCATAGCAGCTTTATTTATAATGGACCAAAATTGGAAGTTACCTAAATGTCTATCAACAGCTGAATGGATAAACAAGTTGTGATATGTCCATACAATGGAACACTACTCAACAAAAAAGAGGAACCAAACTACATGCAAAGCTTAGATAAATCTCAAAATGTTATGCTGAACAAAAGAATCCTTATGCAAAAGAGGATATATTGCATAATTCCATTTATATGAAATCCTAGATCAGGGAAAACTCTGGGGACAAAAAGCTCTTCAGTGCCTGCTTGGGACCAAGAGTGACATATTGACTCCAGGGATGCACAAGAGAACTTTTCTGATATTTTAAAGTACTGTTCCATATCTTGACCTTGGTGGTAGTTACTAGAGTTTTTACATTTGTGAGTTATACCTCAATAAAGTTGATTTAAAAAAAAAGAGAGAGAGATTTAGACATTTTAAAACAAGTAAATGAAATCATTATTAGGGAAAAAACTCTTAAGATTAAAAAATTACTTTGGGAAGATGAAAAGTTTTAGAGATGGATGATGGTTGTAGAATGATGTGAGTGTACTTAAAGCCACAGAATTGTATGCTTAAAAATGGTTAAAATGGTAAGTAAATTTTATGTAATGTGTATTTTACCACATTTTTTAAAAGTTAAAAAAAGGTGTGTAAACAAACAAAAAATCTTTCAAGAATTAGAAAAATACATGTTTTTATTATCTTAAGATGGTATGTGCTTTGTGCTGCTCAAAAATGACTTTTAAAGAATTAAGGCAGGCTCTAAAATATTGCAACAGACTTACGTAATTTCTTTGGTCAAAGATTAAAATGCTTAATCTAATTATAAGCAAGAAATGTGTTTAGTATGTTAGCCTGTATTTATGCAACACAGCAAAGATCAGGATTCTGGCCTTGAAGTGTTTATGTTTTGAGTGTCAAATATGTGAGTATAATAAACTAGCAGTATTACTTAGCCAGGTGTCATTTACTGTAATTCAGAGTATCCCGACAATCATCTTTCTAGAACAGTCATCTTTCTAGAACAATCATCTTTCTAGAAGGAAATGTCTCTTTTAAATTGCTCTGCCCTTTTGGTTTCTAATTAGTGATTGTCCCCTGAGATTTTTTAAAGCTAAAAGTGTTTTATACTCAGTTTGCCCTTTATTTGCAATTTTTATATCAACCTAAGTGTAAAACTAGTTAAATTTGATTGTAATTATTTTCACTGTTACTGTTCTTCATTTGCCTATTTTCATCAAAATAAACCTTACTGTAGTTTCTGGTGAGATTGGTGTGAATTTCTCTAGCCGGAAAGGAAGATCTGGGGATGCTATCTATCCCTTGGGAATATGACTGCTTTCTTGGTGATTTGCTTCCACTTCCTAGGTTTTGGGAATAATAGGCAGTTAAAAGCTCAGCATGCCAAAAGCAGAGGACCCTTGGGAATTTTTTCATCATGAACTTTAAGTTAAGGGAGTTTATGATTGGCTAGATTATAATACAGGAAGTGAATGTCTTTGCAGTATTTTAGAGCTGAGTCAGGAACTGATATTTGCAGTATGTAGAGCTTGAAATACAAAAGAATGGAAGCTTCTACATGAACATGTTTTGAGGGGGAAAACACATTTTCTCTTTACGGTTCATTCTGCTCTAGGGAAACACCACCAAGCGAGTCAAACACAGAATGTGATTGCGTCAGACAAAGCAGAAATACCGGTTGCCCATGAACATGAGCACAGCCATGACCACACACAGCTCCATGCCTACATCGGTGTTTCTCTCGTACTGGGCTTTGTTTTCATGTTGCTGGTGGACCAGATTGGCAGCTCCCATGTGCATTCTACTGACGGTAAGTAGCTCCAAGGTTTTCTGGGCAGTGCAAGACATTTGCATTTTAGGTGATCACAAATGATTGAATAATTCAGTATGTATCAGTGGCCTTATTTAGTGCTAAAACTTTCTCAGGTTCTGGTGAACATTTCATTCATTTGAGAAAGCTAGTGGGTTGCGACATGTGGCACAAGGGAGTGTTTATTATATTATTACCCTGGTTATTTTAAAGCTCATTTGATGGAGGTCTAGGGCAGAAGTTCTTAACCCTTTTTGTGCCATGGAGCCTTTCAGCAGTCTAAAGCCTGTGGCCTTTAGATCAAATCAAAATTCCACTGAGATGCCATTTCTCACCTGTCAGATAGGCAAAAATTCAAAACCTTGGCAGTATACTCTGTTGGCAAAGCTGTGAAGAAACAGGCACTCTCATCTATTGCTGTGGGTGTGCGTAGTGGTACAGCCCCTGTAGTGGAGAATTTACCCTTCAACCCCAAAATCGCACTTCTAGGAATCTGTTCTGATGAATCGGCTCCAATATGAAGATACATACGCACAAGACTAATCGGCGCAGCATTGTTTATCATTGTAAAAACACTTCAACGTCCAGTCATGCATACTGGTTGAGTGTAGTGTGGTGTGTCCATGTAATGGAGTTCTATGTAGCCATGAAATAGAATAAGGAATCCGATCTCTGTGAACCAATATGGAGAGATTTCCAGGAAATACTGTTAAGTGGGAAAAAAAAAAGCAAAAATAAATTATTATACATCATATATTATGTTTTAAGGGGAAACAAGTATACGTGTATATATTTGCTTATCTTTACAAAAAGGAAACATATGAAGGATCAGCTAGAAAACAAAGTTGATTACTTGTAGGAGTGAGGGCATGGGTGGGATAAGGTAGAAGGGTTTTGGGAGGGCATGACACTTCCCCGGGCATGCCTTTTTGATATAGTTTTGACTTTGGGAAATATGTTAATATTTTCCATATTCAAAATATAAAATGAAATCAACAAAGGATGGGGGAGCTAACTGAAACAGATGAACTATACTTCAAATGAATAACACAGTTACACTGAAGGGGATGTAGAAAAAACTAATTCAAGTAACTTATGAAAGTAGTATTTGACTATATACCTTTAGTGGTGAGTAGAGTTGGGGAAGAAGCGTAAACAGTACTGAACTCTTTTTAATAGGCTTTGCTTTTTGTAATGGTGTGGGCAAAACAGTTCTGAAACTAGTTTAGATATGTTACAAGATTGAGCAAATGAGTAAATGTGTTGCTGTTGGTGGAACCAGAGTCCTCACTGAGGAAGAAGGGACATGCAAATAGGGAATGAGGGAAAGCAAGAAAGAACCCCTACAGGGATGGGTTGGAATCGGAGCTATTGGAATCATGATTTCTAAAACTTGTATGTGTATGTGTACATATACATGTGTGTCTATGTATACATGTATGTATGTCTTAGTTCTGTGTGCAGAGAGGGCCTAGAAGTAAAGACATCCCACTAGCAATGAGCATATCAGGGCTCTTCAGAGAAATGGCTGATTCTAGGACAGGACAGGGTAAGGATAAAATGAGCTTGGAGCATCTAGTGCTCAAAGAAGATGGAAACATGTCACAGGATATAGGAACCAGCTTGAAGGGGCTTCTCTTGGCCAGATCTCAGACAGTTTCTGCACCAAGATAATTAAGAACAGCAATAAAGCGTAAATCATTGAAAAAATGGGAATCAATGGGCACATCCACATGGGAGAAAGATAAAAGGAGAAGGGAGGGCATTTGGTTCCAGCAGAAGCTAAATGCCAGTTGGTAAATGTGCAAGCAGTTGGAGTTGGACAATCATCTTTGCAACCTTCATAGTAAAAATTGGCTCAGGCCAGAATCATCAATGAATGTTAAATCTAGGGGGTATATTTTGATTTGCTTATGAGTTACAAGGGGAAAAAAAGTAACTAAATGAAGAAATCGGACAATACCTTGATCAGATGATCAAAATTAATGTCACTGGTATTCTGCTTTCAGTGTGGGCAGAATGTCCTACCAGACCAGCCTCTGTACAGATAACTGTAAACTTTGGACAGAATTTTGAAAACCACTATCTGAAGACATTGGAGAGTGAGTGACCTAAATGAGGCAAATTCTGGAAGGGAGTCTACACTTGGAACCTATTTTTACTACTTTTAGTTCCTATTTTTACTGCTTTTAGCAGTCAGTGCCTATGGGGTAACTAACTGATAGAAGACAGTCTTTCTGGCCTAAGGAACTGGAGGACAGAGTTCAAGGTACCCAGCCCCTGGAAAGTGAGGGGAGAATCTTAGAAAGGAGAGAGACAGAGAAACTCAGCCCCAAATTCTATGTGTAAACTGCCCAAGTCTCTGGCTAAGCCCTGAACCATGCTTTCTTGGGCAGACTCTAGACGGCTCAGCTAAATGTAAAAGAACCAAACTGAGATTTAGGCAGCTGCCCAGAAGACAGAGTTTGCAGTTTGAGCCAAATCAAGTTATGTAAAGCAAAGCAAAAAATCAACACTCTTTGGAGGAATATAATAGAATCCATAGTATCCACAAGATAACATTTACAACATCCAATATATAATCCAGAATTCACACCACCAGTGAGCAGCAGATGTACATCCTGTGCCTCTAGATGTGATAGCCTGAGGAGCATCACCTATGTAGTATTCCATCCAAGAATGCGTCATCTAAGGACACATCAGACAAATCCAAAAGGAAGGACCACTCTGTTATAAAACAAGAAAGGCGCAGGGAAGGAAATGTATTCTTCAGAGATATCAATGTCACACAAGTCAAAGGCAGAGAAAATGTCCCAGATTAAAGGAGACTAAAGAGATAAAACTAGGTGCAACATATGATCTTAGGCCGGATCCTTCCTGGAAAAGGAAAAATGCCCTGAAAGACATTCTTGGGCAATTGACAAATTAGAATATGCAAGAGAGAGTAGAAAAAAATATCAATGTTAAATTTACTGAAGTTGATAACTTTACTGTGATTATATAAGAAAATATCCTTTATCATCAGAAATACACACTGAAGTATCTAAGTATAAAGAGTTACAATGTATGCAATTTACTCTTAAATGGTACAGAAAAAAAGATATACACAAATATGTGTATTTGTGTAGTGTAGATAGAGAACAAGAGAGCATAAGCCCAAATGATAAAGCAAATGGGGCAAAATGTTGGACAATTAGTCGTTCTGAGAAAAGGGTATATGATTGCTTTTTGAACTATTCTTGCAACTTTTTTTTTTTTAACTAACCAAGTCTTATTTTATGAAATTGATTTTGGAGTAAAAGGTTTTACTTATGTGCTTTATTCCAAACAGCAAATGAGAAGCACCCTCTGTTGGATGGAATCTGACTCCAGCTACATTACATAGTTGTCCATAGTGGCCTTTATGACATTTTTCTTGCAATTCTTGTCAGTTTAAATTTAAAATGCATTTATAGGTGCATTAGTGTCCTGTAGCCCCATACAAAGAATTAAATGTAGTATGTGTTTATTTTTCCTCCTGTTTTGTCTCAGAGGTCACTGTTTTTGCTGGTTTTCATGTATCTGATGACCTCGCTTTACCTATTACCTGCAGGGTTTTATGTATTATTATCAGTAAAAGTTAATTCGTTTATTAAATTTATTCTGAATCAGTCTTTTCCTATAGATTTATAGAAATTGTGTTTTAATTTTAAAACCTCTAATTTTTTTTTTAATTAATTAATTTATTTTTGGGTGTGTTGGGTCTTTGTTTCTGTGCGAGGGCTTTCTCTAGTTGCGGCGAGCGGGGGCCACTCTTCATCGCGGTGCCCGAGCCTCTCACTGTCGCGGCCTCTCTTGTTGCGGAGCACAGGCTCCAGACGCGCAGGCTCAGTAGTTGTGGCTCACGGGCCCAGTTGCTCCGCAGCATGTGGGATCTTCCCAGACCAGGGCTCGAACCCGTGTCCCCTACATTAGCAGGCAGATTCTCAACCACGGCGCCACCAGGGAAGCCCCCCTCTAATTTTTTTTAAGATGCTACTTATAATTGGACCACAAGACTGTGTAAAGAAAAGCCAAAACAAGCTTGTCACACAGTGTAACATGATCGTTCTTTCCAGTTTGGGGTGATATTGAAATATCTGTTGTCTCAGAGTGGTTAGGGGCTTTAGCTTCCCTTCTTGCAGTGTTTTAATTAGAAGATAAATTTTTTTTTTTTTTTTTTTTTGCGGTACGCGGGCCTCTCACTGTTGTGGCCTCTCCCGTTGCGGAGCACAGGCTCCGGACCCGCAGGCTCATTGGCCATGGCTCATGGGCGCAGCCGCTCCGCGGCACGTGGGATCCTCCCGGACCGGGGCACGAACCCATGTCCCCTGCCTCGGCAGGCAGACTCTCAAGCACTGCGCCACCAGGGAAGCCCTATATATTTCTTATAATACCTGTAATACAGATAAATACTTTTTAAAATCTCCAACAAGGATTTATTAAGCAACTGTTGGGTGACCAGTGCTATGCTACATTCTATAAGACAAATAAAAAAATGGAAAGAAGTATAAAATTTAATTCTGTATAGTTCACAGTCAATTGGGAGGGACATATTTAAGTGAAAACAGTTTTGTATATCTAAGGTGGAATACAGAAGAAACCTTGAAGTAGCATGTAGAGACTGTGCATAGAGCTGTACATTTCTAGGCAAGGGGAGAGTTGTTCTAAGCTGGAATTAATCTTTGATTCTTTCGCAGAGTAAGCGGTCCTAGAATTAAGACTTTGAACAACGTCTTGGTTTTGGATTGATGAGCTGGGCAGTTTAGTACATGCCAAGAATTAGGGGTGAGGAGATTTGGGGAAAGGAGAATGAGACAGTTTTTGTTAGAGGGTGTTACAGAAACTGGTTTAACTGGACTGGACAGTAAGAAATAAGATGATACCAGTTGAGGACTTCCCTGGTGGCACAGTGGTTAAGAATCTGCCTGCCAGGGCTTCCCTGGTGGCGCAGTGGTTGAGAGTCCGCCTGCCGATGCAGGAGACATGGGTTTGTGCCCCGGTCCTGGAAGATCCCACATGTCGCGGAGCGGCTGGGCCCGTGAGTCATGGTCGCTGAGCCTGCGCGTCCGAAGCCTGTGCTCCGCAACGGGAGAGGCCACAACAGTGAGAGGCCCGTGTACCGCAAA